AGCTGACTTTTCAGCAGAAATGCCGGAGGCCAAAAGGGAGTGGCACAATGCATCTACAGGGACAAAAGGGGAAAGCCACAGCCAAGGGCACTTTACCCGGCCAGGCTCTTGTGCAGATTGGATGGAGAGCTCGAACGCTTCACAGACAAGCAAAAGCTAAGAGTTCAGTAAAACCAAACAGCACAGGTAGACCCTGAGGGCATTATGGAAGTGAGACCGAGACAGACGAACACCATATGATCTCACTTACACGTGGAATCTAAAGAAACAAAACCAAAACCCAAAAAAACCCAAGCTCATAGATAAGGAAAATAGATTTGTTGGTTACCAGAGATGGGGCGCTGGCGCTGAGGGAAATGGGGAAGGGAGGTCAAAGGCTACAAAGGGAGGTCAAAAGCTACAAGCTTCCAGTTATAAATACAGAAGCCATGGCGACATAAAGTACAGCATGCTGACCATAGTTAATAATACTGTAAGAAAAAAACTTCAAAAAAGTAAATTTCATACTAACACAAATTCCTCCCAAGGGCAAAAAGTTGTATCTACTCTTCAAGTCACATAATGAGACCAGTGTAGCCTTGACACCAAAACTAAGGGACAGCACGAGAAAGGGAAAACACAAGGCACTCTCTCTCACAAACATAAATGAAAAAAATCCTTAATGAGATGTTTGTGAATCAAACCCAGCAATGTATTCAGATACAATGCACTTTGAGCAAACTGGGTTTATTCCAGGAATTCAAACATAGTTCATACCATGAAATTGTCCATATAAACAGAAAACAAAATTGGAAAAGCTATAATACCATCTCATACACAGAAAAGACATTTGATAAAAATCAACAACCAAATGTGATTTAAAATAAAACTCTTGGCAAATTTTTTAAAGCAGAAAGAACGCAAGGATGACCCCTACACAGCTCCTATTTGTTACTGTTCTAGAAGTTCTAACCCACAAAATGAGAAAAAAGAACTAAGAGATTTAAGATTACAAAGAAAGGATCACAATTGCTACTATCTGTGGGTAAGATTATCTTCACAGATAACACAAAAGTATACAAATTATTAGAATTAGAGTATAGCAAGGCAGTGCTTATAAGATCACTTTACAGAAGTCAACTGTATTTCTATATATTGCAACACAGGAAATATCTTTAAGAGATATATCACTTACAACTATAATAAAAAAAATACTAGGTACTGAGAAATAAGCAGAACAACAGGTATGCCAGACTCTTATGAAGAAAATAAGAAATGTTACTGAAAAGCATTAAGGAAGATCTGCACAACAGAGAGAAAGGTGGTGTTTCCAGACAGGAAGGCATCGTCAAAGAGTTGTAAGTTCTCCTGAAACTGATGCACTGATTCAGTTCAGTTCAACCCAAAATTCCAACAGGGTTATTCGTGAACGTTTCAAAGCTAGTTCAAAAACACATGTGAAAAAGAAAAAACAATTAAGATACTTCTGAAGAGCAAAAGACCTTCATAACAAATGAACCAGTCGAAGCAGAAAGCTCAGATACAGACACACATGCACAGAAACTCCAACAGTGGGAGCGCTGCGCAGCTGCCGGTCAGCGGGCGAAGGACTACTCAATACTCATGCTGGGCCAGGGCCGGCGGCCGCCGCACGCGCCAGGGCAGGTCTAGGGTGCTCGGTGTTCTTGGCGGACCAGGGCTCTGCCAGCAAGTGCATTGATCACTGTTGATTTCCTCAGGCAGACCCCACTTCTCCCCAGTCTGGGGAGCTCCATGTAAGACATAAAGATAGCTGTCAGGGGCGCTAAGGGGCAGTGGAGAGAGACGAGTAAGTGGACTCCTCCTTGTGTAAGGCTCGTTGGGAAGGTGCCTCTCCACCCCGCCTCCTCTTCCCCTCATGCGGCTCACGGGGTGGTCAAAACAAAGGACAAGAGGCACGTGCACGCTACCCCCCTTTTAGGAATGGGATGGTGTTTTTTCCCCTCTAACACTGGTTGCATTGCCCCAGCAGGAAATTAACTCACAGAAGGAGGAAGTCAAACAGATGTCCTTAGTCCTACACTGTGGTGTCACTTGGATAATGAGAAAAAACATAATGACCCTTACAAAATCCAGAATCTTTGGCTTTCTTAATAAAGCGAATCAAACCCAGCTTACTGGGTTCTAAAGCATCATGATCCACGGTGTAAAACTATCTTCCAAGTGTTTCACTAAACCATGACGTCACTCAGCAAATCAACAGCACACACAGTGATGGACCTGGAGGGCAGCATTCAACACGTATGCTAAGTTCAGTCTGGGGCCTCCAAGTTGGATACAATTTCAGAAAGAAAAGAACATGCACACTATTAACTGGGTATAAACAAAAATACCTGTTCCTTATGTTGAAAGACAGTAAGAATTTTGTCATTATTTGATCTTTGTATTTTTAAGGAGTCTAAATTATGACTTTTAATATTTTTCTTGTGGGAAAATCACCATCATTTTCTCCAAACTCTCTACCAAGTCTAATATACACTCTAAGATAAGAGTGTAAATGGCATGTTTAGTCTCTGATGTCTTGGATAAGAATTCTCAGGGCATTCTTTTCTCACTGAGTGCTTTGAATTGTTAAAGAATAAACAAAAGAGGCAGAGTGGCCAGGGAACAGGCTTTGGAGCAGACACATGAGGTAAGTCCCACATACTTGGAGGGGTCTTGGCTGAGTTATTTTTGTCTCTGAGCCTCATTTATCTTATTTGTAAAATGAAGCTACTATTATCCGTTTCACACATTACTGAAAGGAATCACTGGCACACCCAATAGTTTCTACAATGAAAATTTTCACACTTGCTAAAAGGAAAAAGGTTGTTTTGCTTTGTATTAAACAGACTTTTCCTGAAATAGTCCTGTGTGTGTATGTGCACAGGGATGGACTGTGTCCTCCAAAAATCCACGTCCACCTAGAACCTGTGAAAGCGACCTCGTTTGGAAATTGGGTCTTGCAGATGTAATCAAGTTAAGATGAAGTCATCCTGGAACCAGGTGGGCCCTACATCCAATGACTAGTGTCCTGATAAGAAGGGCACATGAAGACAGGCACAGGAATGCCCTGTGATGACGGAGGGAGAAACTGGAGTTATGCTGCTACAAACCAAGAAATGTCAAGGACTGCTGGCAACCATTGGAAGCTAGGCAGAGGCAGGAAGGATTCACCCCAGAGCCTCTGGAGAGGACATGGCCCTGCGCGTATCTTAATTTTGGACTTCTCACCTCCAGAGCTGTGAGTGTAAATTTCCACCGATTTCCTTAGTGGTACTCTGCTATGGTAGCCCTAGGAACTGACACACACTTTACTTCTCAAACAGAAACGAAGCATTTTGGCTCAGCTCCCACAAAGACAAAACATACTTGTTATTTATTTATTTTTAAATGGCCAATTAGTAGCAGGCAGATTCCAATCTTGTCTGATGTGCATTTTCCAAGAATATATTTTAGCAGGGCACTACTTAGGGATGTTTACAAGTGACCAAAACATAACTAAAACAGGCTTTAACTAAAATGGTCAATGGAGGATGAGTTCTCCTAGTGGATCCTGATTTCCAAGAAAGGTAAGAACCACCAAGACAGGACCCACATGGAAGCAGCTCTGAGGTCATGGAGGCAGGACCCAGCACGTGGTCCCACATCATGTCCTCTCTGTGTACTAACTTCACTCTCTCTGTCTTTAGCCAGCAGGTGAAAACATAACTGCCAGCAGCTTCCAAGTTTGCCCCTTCACAGAGTTTGCCCCTGAAGAAAGATGACTTTCATTCTCTGGGTCCTCAGGTCCACAAAGCCAGGAGGAACACTCTGACCGACCTGAGCTGGGGTAGCTGCCTCAGTGCGACTCCCTGTTGGAGCCCCGTGGTCCAGCGGGTGCCAGGGAGAAGGACGGATGGAGACGACCCAGCAAGGAGCAGCCAGCTCTGCGTCCTTCCTTGATGAAGTAGTCTCACTTTTCTCCCTTTTACTCCAGCTTCCGTCTAAAATGCTAAGATGAAGTGAGCAACCAGGGGGCAGAGAAGTAATTTTAAGGCAGATACAAATATGATTGGAAGAATAAGAAGCAGTAATAGATAAATCAAATTATCAGTACATGTAGGATGGATTTGGAGATTGTCATTCTAAGTGAAGCAAGCCAGAAAGAGAAAGAAAAATACCATATGATACCACTTAATGTGGAATCTAAAAACAAAGAAAAAAGAAGACACTAATGAACTTATCTACAGAACAGAAACAGACTCACAGAATAGAACAGTAAAGAAACTTTTGGTTACCAGTGGCAGAAGAGGGTGAGAAGGGATAAACTGGGAGTTTAAGATTTGCTAATATTAACTACTACATACAAAATAGATAAAAAGCAAATTTCTACTGTGTAGCACAGGGAACTGTATTCAATACCTTGCAGTAACCTATAATGAAAAAGCATATGAAAACAAATATGTGTATGAATATGTATGACGGAAACATTATACTGTGCACCAGAAGTTGGCACATTGTAAGATAAGAAAATAGTAAGAATAAAATAAAGAGACCTAACAAAATACGTTCAGGATCTACATACAGAAAACGGCAAGACTCTGGTGAAAGAAGTCAAAGACGATCTAAACAAATGAAGAAAACTTCTGTGTTAAAAAAACTATCAGTACACGTCATACGCTGATAAAGAACTTTAATGAAGAGCCAGTAAGCATATGAACCGGCTGCTTTACGTACGTAAATATAAACAAAACAATGTTCGCAGCTGCAACTACTCAAAGACAGTTTCCTCCATTGAAAAGAGTAGAAGGGAAGGGAAGGAAGGAATCAAGCATTTTTATCTGAAGATTTATTTTAAAGATGTTTTCCTCTTTTGGTGGTAAAGGAAATACATTGCATCAGCAATAAACATTGACTGCATCGTGCGGGCAGGGCACTGAGGGGCCACAGGACTGTTTTCAGAGACAATTAAATTCAACATACGATTTGTAACTTTCTTAGAAATAGAAATTATCACTTACCGTAGCACTGGGGTTTCTATCAGCCCGATTTAGCTCAAAAGAACTTATTTTACGGGCACTCATTTCATCACTGTCAGCAATGACGTAATGTCTAGGGGTGTAAGCGTCGGACAAGCTCTCGAGCAGTCTCAGGATCTCAGTGGTGTGCCCACCTGGAGAGAAGAGTGGAAGGTCTGAGGTTAAGAAACCCATAATGGATATATCCATCTGACTACACGGTACTAACGCTGTATTTTGCGTAGTTCTCAAAAGACAGAAGGAATATTTGGAAACAATAATCTGTGCCCTTGTATAAACACTACTTTTACATGGGGGACGAGGGTAATCAGTGTATAAAAATACAATCAGCACCAGCAGTAGGTTGTGCTGGGAAAGGTCCAAAGACGTCTAGGACCCAGGTCCTGTTATTAAGAAGCCTGGTGGCAACGGGACAAGATGCACACAGATCTATAAAAAACGACGCAAGACGGCAAGAAAAATTAAAATGAGGGAGGGTGGGGAAGCAAATGGCTATGAAAAATCAATGTTCTAAGCATAAGGGGGATCCCTAGGATGGGCTGAAATGACCTGAAAGGTGAAGCCAGTGGACAGATAGGAGCAGGGAGGTCACGGAGCAGGGGTGAGGTTATCAGGACATGAGAAGGCAAGATCTGAGATGTGTGTCCAAGGGATGGTGGGAATACTGGGAAGAAGGATGGAGGGTGAGGTAAGGTCAGGAAAGTAGGTTGGAAAATCGCAAGGGAGTTGCTGAAGGTTTCTGTGTTGCAGAGTAACACCAGGGAGGCGTGAGCCCTGACCCGCGAGGCTCACGTCTTCCTCAGGAAGACCCTCGTTCGCCTGCTCCTAACAGAGGTCTCAGCACTCCGCGGTCCTCAGATGCTCACCAGCTTCACCCAACAGCTGTGGGTTCGATTTCTGAAGTCGTACAATCTCCGAAATTTTAATATTTTAACTTTAAAGCCATGAATTTAAAAATCAACTGTGTTTACTGAGGTTTCCTTCAGGGAAAAAACTCAAAAAACATTCACCCATCACATTAACTGTATGCCGTACATGTGAAGCAATCCAACCCTTAATAGGCCCTATCCTGCCTACTTAATTTAATTGCACACTCTATGGCCTCGGCCAGGTGGAGGTCCTCAACAACCTCTGTGATCATCTTGTTACCGCTTCCTGCCTCTGGTCACACGATGAAACTCCTCCCCTTCACCAGCCTTACTATTGTAAGAAAGCTTTCAATAGTGACACAGCGAACACACAGGATAGTCAAACAAATTAAGCATGTGTTTTCTCCAAATGCATATCTTGTCTTATAGTAGAAGGGGAAAGATTACTCTAGATCCCAGAAGGAATTAGATTAAAAAATGAAATCAGCAAAGAGTAAGTGTGGCAGGAACTACAACCATACTTCAACTTTATAACTTGTCATCCATCTCCTTATTCAAGGCAAGCAATTTACACATCTGACTTATACTCATTTCAGTATTTTTGTTTTTAGCTTTGAAAAAGTGTGGTGGTTTGCAAATAGGTACTTGTTTTCACAGCTGGAGCAATTAAGGATAGAACCTAACACATGACACCTTCCACTGCAATTAAAACTTCATTTTACTTGCTTTAACAGTCTGTTGTTTTTTGTTTTTTTTTTAAGAAATCCTCACTGAATATATTCTTTGAAAATTTAACCTTGCTACTGAATAAAATAATTAAAATGGCGAGCTTAGTCTTCCATTTTACTCTTAAGATTTATCCTTTGGGAATGAAATCTCAGTTCTATCTTAGAAGAAATCCAGAATCCAGTCACTTCTCACCACCTCCTTTGCTAGCTCTCTGTTCCAAGCCAAGTCACTCTCACTGGTCTGTTCCCCACGCTGTACTTGTCTATGCAAGTGTCCACTTCAGTTCTACTCTCAACATAGCCTCTAGAGTGATCCTATTAAAAGGGGTTGATCAAATTATTTACTTCAGCTCAAAACCCTCCAAATGGTCCCCTTTCTTATATAGAATAAATGGCTTTTTGGAAGCAGACCCCTTATTGTTACCTCTTGGACCCTGTCTGCTTCCTCCCCCTTACTCAGTCTATTCCAGCCACTCCAGCCTCCTTGCTGTTGGGTATCTGGCATCTCCCCAGGAGGCCTTCCCTGACAATAATGCCCAAAACTCAGCTTCCTTTCTCTACTTCATAGTGTCTGTCACCATGTAACTTACTATGCAGTCTGTTTATTTGTTTTGTTTCTGTCTCCCCCCCACCCTTGCCCCACTAGAAGGTGAACACCATGATGGCAGGGATTTTTGTTCATTTTGTTACTGCTGTACACCCAGTGCCTAGAAAACAGTAGGCACTCTCACTGAATGAATGAATGGATGACAGTTCAACAGTAAATCTAAAATTGCCTAAGGAGATCATACAGTGATTCAAAGCAAAGTAGTAATTTTGATTGATGTTCTTTGAATATAAGCCATCGATTAATAATATTTTATGGTAAGATTAAGTATTTTTTGGTATTCAAGGTAAACACTGAAAATACCTTCCCCATCCTCCCAAATTTGGGGCATGAACTATTAAATTATCTGCCTGACTACAAGCCTTTCTTCGATTTGGATGATTGAGGTCCTTGATCTCTACACATCCCAAATGGTTTGAATGACAGAGGGCACCACTGGCCAGACGTATTCTCAACCTTAGCTTTGGTTCTCGGTCCACCACATCTACTAATGTCAAGTGAATGGCTCTAACATCCACCTATCCATCCATTTATTCAGGCCAGAAACCTAGACATCATTCTTGAGCCCACCTCTCCCTCACCCTCCACTTTCAGTCCACAAGTCTAGTGATTTTTATCTCCTAAACTTCACTTAAATGCATACACTTTTCTCCATCCCCACCCATCAACCCCGGTCAGGCTGTCACCATCTGTCATTTGAACTATTCCAAAGGCTCCTATCCTGTATCCTGACCTCAGTCTTTGTCGAGACGCTCTCTCGACAATGCAGACTGAATGATCTTCATGGAAGCTCAGATTCAGCTGGGTCACTCCCCATTTAAAAATACTTGAATACATCCCTTTGCTGCCAGGACTATCAATAGTCACCACTTATTAAATGCTTTACTATACGCCAAACACTTTGCCAAACACTTTAAATGCTACCACATCTAGTCTCTCCTCATCTTTTCCCAATCCACATTTTTCAAGGTGGAAAAAGAAGGCTAATTTGCCCAAGATCACCAAATTGGCAGGTTGCAGAGATGTGATTCTACTCCAGCGCTATGGCAGTTTAGAGGCATGTGGTCCTAACGTCTACATGAAGGAAGCAGTGGGTAGTGCCCATAGCTCTACAGAGCAGGGATTAAAACAGCCTTTAGGATCGGCATTGGGCCTACTTCCCGACATCCAACTCGGTGCAACAGTGCCCTCTCACCTCTGGCCATTCTGAGTGCGATCACCTTCTCACACCCTCATGGCCCTCAAAGCCCCCGCTCCCCAATGTCTGGCTAATTCTTAGTTCCCTTTCAAGTCTCAGTTTAGACATCACTTCTTCAAGGAAGCTTCCTGTCTCAAGTTAAGATAACATGGGGCCCAGTCTAAAGACTTCCATAGCAGTTTTTACTTCCCAGGTGATCGCACTTATCTCATCATGGCAAGTACCCATTCTGCTTTTTGTTTTCTGTTAGTTTTTCCATATTCTCCATTTCATTCACTGTGCACCTTTCACACTGCTTGGGACATAGCACTTCACGGCAAGGAGTAGTAGTCAGTTTTGTTATTTCCAGGGATTAGCTAAGTGGCCTCTCCTACACTCAAAATACATTAAGTGACCAAAGTAATGAATTATACTTGAACATACGTTTAGAACATCTGCTCATACTATAAGTATTATTCTATCTGGATGCAATCTCCTGGCATTTTTAAACGTACACAGAGATACAGACATATATATATGTCCATTTGGCGTTGTAAGCGCCTAGGGAGCAGGTGGACTCCGTTTTAACTGTATTACCTGATAGGACAGTTTGTTGTTCATACTCTGACACAACATCCTGAAGTGTGTATTATTCTCCTGTTAGCAGTTGGCTGTTACTATCCTCGTGGATTTTGTATATGTATAGTTATAAATATGACAATTCACTCTGTCTCATTTATCAGGTAGCATTCGTGACGCCTAAACTAATTCCAAAATGCCTCGGTGAATAATGGAAAACAGCAATTTTTATTCAGGGGAATTGCATGTTAGCATCAACAGGCTTTTGCGTCCTCTGTGTACGCTAACAACTTAAGAATATACGCTACAGGGAAGCTTAATAACAGACAAATGCAAGTTACTCATTTGTTATTACAGACGCGGTCTGGGCCGCATCAACAGACCAGCATTTTGCCCAGGCGGGGCGAACCAGCTCCGTTCACGCAGAGAAACTACAACTCCCAGCATGCAACGCGCCACAACACGCAAGGGGCCCGGCGCAGAGCACTGCGGCGCGCTCTGGGGTTCGTAGTGCCCCACCCGAGCCCGCCAGTCACCGCCCTGATACTCACCGGACCCAGCCACCACCAGGAGGCTGAGAGACCGCCGGGGCACAGGGGCGCGGGGGCGCAGCACTACCCACAGCCGCACTAACAGCAGCACGGCCACGGCGCCTCCCGCCACGGCGAGGATAAGGGTGCCATCCATTTAAGCAAAGGACGCATGCGTGCTATCCCCGGGCGCCGGCAGCCGGAGGAGAGGTCAAAGTTCAAAACTACGGGTGCTGCGGAGACCCAAACCTGAAGTGTGCGCCTCTTGGTGGGCGGGGGTTGCTTGCGCTGGGAGGAGTTCTGGGCCAGAGGCGGAAGCGGGGCTCCGACTCCTGCGGACTCCTGCACGCCTGCCGCCCCAGCGTAAGATGAAATTCGGCGACTGAAAGCGCTTGATTTCTGACTGTGACGAGCTCAGGCCACCTGTGGGCCGTAAAGCCCCGGAGCGCCCGAGAGTGTTCCAGCTCCACCAACGATGTGCGTTACACCTGGGAACAATGGCATACATCGCTTTTTTTTTTTTTTAATTCCAGGGGCAGCGTATCTGTGGCACATACAGATGTTACTGAAAGTGTTTGCCGGTAAGAGGTACAGTGGTACAAAAAACTGAATTTAGGGCCCTCTTCCAAATCTCCTCTTTCCCAACACTCATGTTTTTAACTTTTCTGGGCGTTTTCGCAGATCTCAGTGTGACCAGAGTAGCTGAGAGTGATCACTTCAAGCTATTGCTATGATCCTGAGAGGAATGGAAGCCCAGGGGCTCGGAGTGGCCGGACAGAGAAGGCGTCGTCCTGCAGTTTATATTCAGTTGATTTTACCGCAAAGCCAACATGTCCCCCAATACCAATTTTGACTTTTTTTATGTCTACTTAATCCACATTGCAGCAATGTAAAAAGACAGATTAGAGAAGCCCCTCCACCCCAAGTGTAACTTGCCCTCAGGTCTCTATAGATCTGTAGGTTAGATGGGATGAGTATGCAGATGAGTAAGCCGGTCCAGCGTGGTGAAACAGCTTGCCCACGTGACATAGTGGCAGGTCTGCATTTGGAAACTCGAAATCCTGACTCCCGCTGTACAGGAGTATTGTAGTGTGTGTTCCTTTGCCGAATTCAAACTTGCTTGATTATCACACTCACTTAGAGCCTAGAAGGTATTTTTTAAAATGCAGCCTCTCAGGATCCTCCTGGGAGATAGTGAATCAGAATCTCCACGGGAGAGGCCTGGGATCTGCCCATCGGAGCAATGAGTCCATTTCTATCAGCAGGCAAGCTTGGGAAACATTTAGTCATTTTCTGGCTAAGGGACCTCACAGCACTTCTACATTCAGTCTTCCATCAAATCCTCCTCACCCTACATCCTCACAATAAGGCCCCAAGATGAATATTACTCCCCTCTTTACAGATAAAGAAAAGGATTCTATAAAAGTAAATGATTTGCCTAAGATTACTTAGCCAATAAGTTGTGGAGAAAGTTTATAGTTGTGGATTTCAAAGTCAGTGCCTCTCAAATTTTGATGGAATCAGAATCCCCTGGGCGTTCAAATACATAGTTGGAAGTCCAGAGGTAGGGCCTCTGGCACCGTATGAGAAACAGCTTAAGAATGTTACAAAGGATGTGGTTTTCTTTCATCTGCCTACTCTGTCATTCCTAGCAATGGCTCCAACCTAAGACTCTCTCCCCTCTCACTTAAAAGAGGACTTGAGTGGTCTCAGAAAGTACATTCAGACAGGGCAGTCTGCACATTTCAGGAGGTCATCTAGTCATCGGGTCTTATTTTTTAAGGTGAGGAATCCTTTTCCAAACCTCTCACAGCAGATGTTCGCTCCTTCTGACTATATTTATATCACTGGCCCATTCATAAAAAGAATGATACTTCAAAGGTGGCTGGGGTAGGATGGAAGATGACACACAACTCACCTGCTGTTTCTGGCTGTTTGGTGGAGGGCGGGTACTGAACAAAAGGGCGTTCTCTTGGAGAGGAGGAAGCTGGAGGAGGGTGGAGGAGAGATGATTGCTGGGTGGACAAATCAGAGCGTTTGGATTGCTGCAAGGATAATGTGTCTGAGGTGGCATTGTAAACCTACAGAGGTCGTGCAGGTGTTCAGCATATTAATAATGTTTAGGCTCGAAGCCCCAGAAGATACCCCTGCATCCCCAAGTACCTATCCCCTCCCTGCTGTAATTACCTGTATCTGTCTGAAAAATCAGTTTGCCCATACTTTGTATGCAGCAGGAATGAATGCGGGTGATCAGGCATTTTAGTGGCTGCCTGTAAATGCAGAGAATAAAAGAGGGTGGAGTAGCAGGCATTGTTTGGGGTTATTGGTTGAGTTATTATGAATTAAGGCTAGAGGCAAACTGTGCCGTGTTCCCGATGAGGAAGCTGAGAACTGCAGGGAGGAGCTAGGTGGCAGGCAGGAATGGGAACAAAGTTGGGAGCTCCTGATCAAAGTAAATGCTGGGTAAGCTGGACCGTCCCGGGCTGTGACAGGCACGGAATATAGATGATCGAGAAATCAAGAAGCTGTACTGGATTGGTCAGGAAAGGCAGGAAAAAAGCAACAACTCAGGTTTCTCCTAGGGAGGTAAGTTCCACTGACAATGCAGATAAGAGATGTACAGAGATAATTTTTAGTGCTATGAAAAGCATGAAAATGTATCAATAATTGATAAGCTGAATAATAATATTGAGCTATCATCAATCATAAGTAAAGTCTGCCTGGGAAGTGATTTTTATGATCTTCTTAAATCTGTTTCCTAAAGTTTCTATGGCAAATATCTGTTATTCATGAATATTTTACAGATTAAGATTATTTTGCACTATTGAATAGGATTGTTCTTGCTAATTTATTCAACATATTTAATGATCACCACTGTGTGCTAGACTTAGGTAGAGGAGCTCTCGTGTGAATAGGACAGTTGTCCAGACAAGAACCTTGGACTAGGAGGATGACAGTGGGAGGCAGAAGAGGGTCAATTTGAGATATATTTGTGGATAGAGTTGCTAAGGCTTGTTGATGGATTAGATATTTGGAATCAGGATGGCTCCTAGATTTTTGGCTTCAAAACTGGTTGGATGGTGTCATTTGCCAAGAATAGACAGACAGAAAGAGAAGCAAGCTTTCGTGAGTAGAGAAAGAGGAGAGGATGAAAATGAATGTTCTGTTTTGGGTGTTAGTCTGAATAGCCTGTTAAACATACAAGTGGTTGTGTCAGATAGGCAGTTTCATGTACAGTTCTGAAGCTGGGGTCAGAGCTAGAAGTGTACATTTAGAATTCAGCATATAGATGGTATTTAAAGCCGTGGGCCTGGGTGAGATCACCCAGGGAGGAGGTTTAGGTCAGTCCTGTCCAGCAGAACTTTCTGCAGTGATGGAAGTAGTTTCTGTCCATGTTGCCCACTATACGTACGTATCTGCTGAACACCTGAAATGTGGCTAATGCAGCTGAGGAACTGAATTTTAATTTTATTTAATTTAAATGATTTCAAATTTAAATTGAAACATCAGCTCGTGGCTGCTGTATTGGACAGCTCAGGATAGAGAAGAGTCTGGGGTCATTAACATTTAGAGGTCTGGTCAAGGAGATGGGGCCAGCAAAGAAGATGAAGAAGGAAAATCCAGGGAGATAGGAGGAAAATCAGGAAATAATGGTGTCCACAAAACCAAGAGTGGAAGTTGATTCAGGAGTGGGACAGCTACGGTCAGCTACGTCACAGGCTCCCTTAGGTGGGATCAGGTAACTTGGGAACAAGTTGGTCACTAAGAATCTAAATATGAGCAGCATTTCTATGGAATAGTGGTTGTAGAAGGCAGATGGAAATGGGCAGAGGAGAGAATGGGAGAGAAAGTAAAGCAGTTTCTGTAGACAGTCATTTCAAGTTTTTCTTTGAAGGGAAATGGATAAATTAGATGGGAAGTGGAGGATAATTTTTTTGTTTCAATTTTTAAAAAACTTTCCATAAATAGCTTCATTTAGGTTAGTTTTTTTTTGCAGGAGAATTTGTAATCAAGGAAACATTTTTTATAAGGTAGGAGTTAACTGACATTCGTTGGATGTTAAAAATGATCCAATAGAGGAAAATTGATGCAGGAGAGAAAGGGAACGAGAACAGGAAAAAATTCTTTTGAAAATGAAAAGAGTTGGAACCTAGAGCACAGGGGGAGTGGCTGGGCTTTGGTAGGAGGGACCCTTACTCACTGGTGACAGGATGGAGGGCAGGGACACAGATGTGGGTCCTGGGAGGCTTGGTGGTGAATAGATAAGGGAGTGGAGCCTGAGGGTACAGAAGAGTATGAGAAGCTCAAGGAGGAAGAAAGTATGACATCATCTCGAAGAGTAATTGGCACGCTCACCAGGGTCAGCCTGGGGTTCCTGGGCACATTGGGGTGCCCATCTGAAGCTTGTGATAACAAACAGAGAGAGAAACCAGCCAGCATAATTTTACGTCTTTTTCCCCCCCTGGAAAAGGCAGATAGTTTAACCAGAGTTAGATTTTTGACAGGTGACTACATTAGAGAGAGAAGATTCTTTTCAGGGAGTGAGGTCCATGGAATTTCCCCTGGACATAGTGGAAAGTGAAGATAGAGGAGTGGAGATATAGGGGAAGTTGGCAGCTTACAGATCAGGAGTTTCCAAAGGTGCAGGGAAGGGTTTGAAGGGTGATAAGGAATGGGAATTGGGTCAGATCAGGGGATTTACAAGTAACTACACAGACAAGAATCAGGATGATAATGGGTCATCTGAGAGGCTTCTGGGATTTGAAGTAAATAGGGATGATGGCAGGCTCTCAGCTGATTTCAGTTCATTTCTCCTGGTACCTCTTATGGGCTGCACGCTGGGCTAGACCGTGGGGGATACGGTGGTAAGGCGGGGACAGTTAATGCACAACGGTGACTTAGCAGTGGTCCTGGCTCCATGAACTGCATAGAGAAAAGACATCTCCCCACCCTGTGATGGGCTGCTCTGAAGTGCGGGCCACTGGGAAGCCTGGCAGCGAGGCCCTTCCCACCGGAGTTCAGCCATCTTCAGTCCTAATAAGGGTGACAAGTAAGACTGAAGCTCTTCTGCAGGAGCCAGGCAGACCCAGTTTGGGCAGCGCTATGTTTCTGCACGTAACACTGCTTATCTTTGAAATCTGTCGAATTAATTTTCTCCTCATCCCAACCCTCCCACCCCCAAAGCCTCCGCTCAGCACCTCCATCGAGTCCATCTTTT